CCGACGAGGAAGTTCTCGATCCATTTGAGAAGTTTGCCGCTGATGCCCATTATTCTCAACTTGTGCAGGAGACGCTGGTGCGGAACACTGGCGAACGCCTTCCGGAAATCAATATAGGCCACGTGCACAGTGTGTTTTGCGTGAAGTGCTCTTGTCCAACTTTGCATTGCACACATGATCTTCCCCTGCGGAAACCATATTGTGCATTGGATAAGAGATTGTGACTTTCCAGATAAGTCATCAACTCCTTTTGGATGATTTTGTCCATCACTGTGCAGGAGATTGATGTCAGACTGACTAGTCTGTAGTTCGTTGCCAGAGCACGACTACTGCTTTTGCAAAGGGGTGTAATGTGGGCCGTCTTCCAGTGTGTGGGAAGGATTCCAGCATCGAATGATTCCTGGCACACAAAGGATAGTGGTTTGGCCAGCTCTCGGGCAAGCTCGAAAAGCAGCTTTGCTGGGATCTCGTCCGGACCGGGAGATTTACATTCCTTCAAGCTTTATATTTCTTCCAAAATTGTTGATACTCGAATTACGATATATTCGATAGTGGGATCTCCCATGTTCTGGGAACTAGTGGGAATAAAGTCTGCTTCTCTTGTGAAAACGGATTGGAAAAATTGAGAAAAATGCTCAGCTTTATTTTTACTGTCCGGTATCTCCAAAACGTCATCATTCCTCATGACAGGAATGAGATTCCTGTTACGTGTGCTCTTCCTGAAACTACCAAGACTCTTTGCAAGGATATTTTTAATTCGTTGAGCAGTTAACAGTACTGGTGCTCCTACTGATGTTTCTACTGAATGGACTTGCACTTGATTTTGTTAGTAAATACGTGCCAAACTGAATATGTTCAGTTCAGTCCAGTTTATTGAGGGAAATAGGCGCAGGCCTTTGAGTACCCTATTTGCAACGTAAAAAAAAGGTGTGGTATACAGATAGATGCGTTGGGCTGAAATAGTTCGAACACGCCCATAATGGTGGTACAAAATAGAAGGAGTTACAGGTGGTGAGCTCGACTTCTCATCGCTCTTGGCCATTTCGGAACATAAATATGTCCAGATTCTTCTTAAAACTTTGTATAGATGGTGACATCACAACATCTGCGGGAAGCTCATTCCATGGTTTGACCACCCGAACCGAGAAGGAGAACTTCCGCACATCCAGCCGTGCCTGCTGAGTGCGCAGTTTTAACGGGTGACCTCGGAGGTTGGTCGTGGTAGCAAATTCAAAAAAGTCCTCGAAGGCCAGACTGCAATCCAACCCCTTTACAATGCGGAAGGCTTGCAAGAGATTCCCGCGAAGTTGTCTGTAACTCAAAGAAAAGAGGTTCAGATTTACTAGGCGGGTTGCATAAGGGAAGGAGCTTTGACCCCTGACCATCGTCGTGGCTCTCCTCTGGACTCTTTCGAGGCAGTTTTGATCCACAACAGCCCACGGCCTCCAAGCTTGTATGCCGTACTCTAAATGCGGCCGGAAGAATGTTTCGAATGTCTTAGAGAAAGCTTCTTCGTCAAAGTTCATAAACGCACGCTTGATGGCGTGCAGTACGGACATTGCGCTTTCTGCCACCCTCGAACAGTGGGCGGATGGATTTAGGGAGCTCGTCGTAAGCACACCGAGGTCCTTTTGGGCTTCGACCTCTTGTAGGGCTGCATCACCCAGAAAGTAGCCTCTTGTGCTGGCGGACCTGGCTGTGTTGCCTAGGCGAAGTATGCTACATTTGGCAACGTTGAGCCGCAGGAGCCAACGGTTTGACCACTCTTCCAACCGATTCAGGTTCATCTGCAGTCTGTCTTCGTCGGCAGGACCCCGAATTACACTCCATATCTTCATGTCATCCGCAAACATTGCTACTTCACAGTCTAAATCTCTTGCGGCATCGTCCACGTAGATAAGGATCAAAATGGGTCCCAGTACTGAACCCTGGGGGACACCACTATCGACCATAGCCGGATCTGATTTTCCCCGACCGATGCACACAACCTGGTGTCGACCCACAAGGAAGTTTTCGATCCATTTAAGGAAGTTGCCACCGATCCCTATTTTTTCAGCTTATGTAAGAGCCTTTGGTGTGGCACAGTGTCGAACGCCTTCTGGAAGTCGATGAAGGCTATGTGGACCGCGTGCCTGTCGTCGAGAGCTCGGGTCCAGCTCTGGGGAGATTGCAGCAAGTTTGTCGTGCAGGATCTTCCTTTCCGGAACCCATGTTGGCAGTTCGATAGCAGGCCGTGAACTTCCAGGAATTGCATCAGTTCACTCTTTATGATCCTTTCCATAACTTTGCAGAGAATGCATGTCAAGCTTATGGGCCTGTAATTTGTCGTCGCTGCCCTGTTACCTCCTTTGTGTAGCGGAGTAATATGCGCCAGCTTCAAATCAATAGAAAGTGTTCCAGTGTCAAATGACGTTTAAAAGAGCATCGACAAAGGCACAGAGATCTCACGGGCAAGTTCCTTCAGAAGCTTGGGTGGAATCTCGTCTGGTCCTGGCGACTTCGATTCGTTCAGTGCCTCTAATTTTCTTCGGACAATGCCTTCTGAGAAGAGTATACAGCTGAAGCTTGGAGTCGGCAGTTCTTCTGTGGAGGGAGGAAGGAACCTTGCCTCATTTGTGTAGACTGATTGGAAAAACCGTGAAAAATACGCAGCTTTATCCCTACTATCAGCGATCTCAACGCCATCAGTAGTCTTTATCAAGGGGATTTGATGCCTGTTCCTTGTAATTCGTCGGAGGTAGCTGTAGAGCAATTTTGGGTTCTGCGTTGCTTTTTGTAGCAAGTTCTTCTCGAATTCCCGCCGCGTCTTCATTATCAGGTTCCTCAGTTTGCTCCTCTGTGTCTTGTAGGTGTTGAAGCATTCAGCTTGTCTAGTGACGCAGTATTTTTTCCACAGTTTGTGCTTCCTGTTGATTTCTGTCTTAAGGTTGCTATTTAGCCACCCAGGGCGTTTGTTCAGTCTTACACTAGTCAGTGGGCAGTGGTTGTTGATGAGCTGCAGAAGCACATTCTTGAACAGCTCCCAGTCATCGTTGGCATTTCCCGTAAACAACGAGCCCCAGTCAAGACCG